CATGACGGTTTAATAGTAAGTAGTCTACAGTACTTTGCCCTTGATGTGAACAGTACGTGTAATCGCCCGTATCGCGGTCATGTGACACCCTACCGTTTGCTATCGACAAACCGGTTGATATACACAAATCCAGCAGACGACGCCCGTGCGTATCAATCACGTGGTCTCTGTTAACTCGTTCGGGTATATTTATTCGGTTAACAAAAGGGTAGTTTTCGTCTAAGTATTTATCAAATAAAAAATAGTCAGGCAAATCGGCGGTGCGACTATTAAAATCGCCAGTTACGTATATTTTGCCTAATTCGTTATATTTCAAAATATCATTTTCTAAATTTTCAAAAAAATCAAATTCCTCCTGTTTAATTACCTTAGAATTTACGGGAGGTATATACAAGTGACATATAAATACATCTTCATTAAATGAAAATAGTTCTTGACTTAATTTAATCCACATATATCCATATTGGTTCATTTCTGCTACAGTTATATATTTTTTAATATCATTATTAAAGTATAAAGAAATACCGCCACTGTATCTACCTCTGCTACTGTTCTTTTTACCTTATTTCCACTAAGTTGAATGCAAGTAAATCCAGAAATATCATATCTATATAAGTCAGTTTTCGAAATCCAAGTCTCATTTAGAAACACTAAATCATAACTAGATATAAACGAAATAAAATCATTATCAGTAATATGTCTTATTAGTCCGTTGACATTCCAACACAGTACATTTAAGGGTAACTCTTCATGACATCTCTAGTAATCACTACTCGGTTTGTATTCTACATTATTAATGAATAATTTTGTCCCGATGAATTTTACAGATTTACCGGCCTTTTTCGCCTCTTCCATTTTCGGATACAGCGGTCTTCTAGCATCACGCACTGCCCTAGGTAGCTGAATCCCGATCCCACGTGCTACATCCCTCAAGTCGTCTGCTTGATCGAAAGACGCAGACCTTACACGTTCTCGCTGATGAGTGTGTATAAAACGTGCTAAAATAGGACGTGTTTTTCCAGGCGAACGTTTTCCAAGACGATAGGGGGGTTTCTCAAACCCAAATGTTTCAGCGTCAGACAATTTCAACGTATCTCTGCATAGCTCTTTTATTAGGTTTCCGCAGTTCTCGTCTGGTTCCTCGGGAAATCCATAAAACAGAAGGTTATTCTGCAGTGACTGCATTTCTAGATTTATAACCTGCTGTTCAAGTTTCTCCTGCACCCCGCATATCTGAGTGGATTGTGATTCTACAAAGTTAAAATCCTTTTTTATATTTTTCAGGTCACTTCGTGTGTCTTTAAGTTCACGATGTATCGAATCATTGTCCTTAGACAAGTATTCACAGCATTTTTCAGTTTCAGTGATCCTAGTACCGAATGATTTCATTTTTGATTCTATGTCTGTCATTTTTATATTAATGGATGAAATTGACTTCTCAATTTTATCGATAGAATGAAGTTTATGAAACTTACGGTAATTATCCAATCGAAATCATAATATTTCAGATCTATTCTAAATCAATTTCAGACTAATTGGACATTTGTTACTTTAATGAATGAATTAAATTATTAATTTATAAACCAATTTCTTTATTTATTTAATCAATTTATTAACTTATTGGTTTATTTATTTATAAATTGACTTATAAATTTATTTATTTAATTAATTTATAAGTTAATTAATTTATTAGATTATCAATTTATTATTTATCAATATATTAATTCAATTATTTATTTTCTTTCTATTTATATATTTATAATTGAATGAATGAATGAATGAATGAATGAATGAATGAATGAATTTATTTATTTATTTATTTATTTATTTATTTATTTATTTATTTATTTATTTATTTATTTATTTATTTATTTATTTATTTATTTATTTATTTATTTAGAATTTATAAATTTATAATTGATAATAAATAAACTAATAAATAAATAAATAAATAAATAAATAATTTAAATAAATAAATAATCGGTAATTTCTTTTGCCATTCTAATTGATGACGTGGGATATTACTTTGTTAACCTTCATGTCAGTTATACTTATGTGTATTTCTTTTCCTCGCTTATACATCAAACTATGTTTTCTTTCATTTGGCGTGTTGTATAAGTTATATTTATGTCAACAAAAATGCTTTTGTTATGTAAGTGCTCTAAATGAACGTGCCAACACGATTTTCAAATACGCCGTTTTTAGAACAAATAGCCATTCAATAATTCAACTGGATTGTAAACAAAGAAAGAAAGAGATCAATGAAGCAGACGAAAAACATCCTTAACGGTCTAATTTCTGTTATTTGCAGCGTACATGTATATATATAATTTGTTAACTTACATTATTATATATGAACTATTCATTTTCAAATGATCAACATCCATTTTTTTCTTTTTTTATTATTCTTTTAAACCGTGTTTTTTTTCTTTTTTTTTTCTTTTTGTGTGTGTGTGTGTCTCTTATAATTATGCTGTTAAGAAAAAGCCCCATCATGAAGGGTAATAAAAGATAATTGATCTCATTGCTAATTAGAACTGCACTAACCACACACCGCCCGCATTTAATGTACAGTTGACTGTCATACAATTAATTAATTTATTTATTTAATCAATTTATTAAAAAAAATATTTATTTATTAATTCATCAATTTATCAATCTATTCATTAATTATTGATTTCTTTATTTAATTATTTATTTTTCTATTTATTTATATATTTATAATTAATTGAATGAATGAATGAATGAATGAATGAATGAATGAATGAATGAATTTATTTATTTAGAATTAATTAATTAAATTGACTGTCATACTGTTTAAACAATTTTTTTGAGTATTTCTACAATGTATAATAATATTTATTTATTTAAGTCTCATTCATGCACATACACAAATAAAATTCATAAGCAAACATAAAACACAGAAAAGTACCTGACCATTCAATCATTGAATTATAAGAGACTAGTAAAACATTTATAATAACACGAAAATATCATACTAATCATAAAATTATATCCTACTATAAATAATAACTAACTACACAGAACAAATACTATAAATTAATGGAAAGAAATATACATTTATATATTTATATGATTAGAAAAAAACAGTCGCTATTAATATTTATGAAACTTAAGGTAATAATCCAAGCGAAATCAAAATATTTCAGATCTTTTTTAATTCATTATTAGACTAATTGGACATTTGTAACATTAATTCATAAACCAATTAATTAATTAATTTATTTAATCAATTTATTAAAAAAAATAATTTATTTATTTATTAATTCATCAATTTGTCAATCTATTAATTAACTTATTTATTTATTGATTTATTTATTTAATTAATTGATAAGTGTATTAATTTATTAGTTTATTAATATATTAATTTATCAATATGTTAATTTAATTATTTATTTTTCTATTTATTTATTTATATATTTATAATTAATTGAATGAATGAATGAATGAATTTATTTAGAATTAATAAATTAACTAATAAATAAATCAAAAATTAATTAATTGAGTAAATAAATAACTAATTGGATCGGACCTATTTCATTTTAAAAAGGTCGGAACCGAATATTAACATGTAGAAAAACTTTTACTGTTAAACTTCCGTTCCAATAAGTAAAACAAAAAAAAAGATATAGATGAATTCTCCCATAATGGTATTCTCCCATCACGCTGTAATGGGGTATTTCTCCAAGTTAGCTATCATGGGAGATTTCTCCCATTTTAATTTTGGGAGGTTTCCGCACCATTTTAATTTTGGGAGATTTCTCCCATTTACTAAATGGGTTAGTTCAGCCAATGGGAGAATTGCAAAATTCTTTAAATATATTCCTCGAATACTTATAAGTTTATTATGAGTATTATATATTTAACACATGTAAAAATATTTAGAAAAAAAAAAAAAATTTCTCCCACGGTTTTATTCTCCCACTTTAAGAAATGGGGTTTCAACCCCACTAAAGTCCCAGTGGGATACGTAAAAACCCGTGGGAGAATTGAAAAACCCCATGGGAGGTCACACTTTGAACGCTCACACAGCGTTTAATTATTGCGCTATCTTTGTGTAATCGGTCAATAATCGTCTATTTTTATCCAAATTACTGTTTGATTTAACTTTTTGTATTGAAACTATGTTAAAAAGGGTAGTTGAGTTTGCGAAAATTCCGGATTTGCAAACTTATTCCGGAGGCTGTTTAAATATAAACAATTCTTAGTTATGTGTTGTTTATTTATTCATTAAAATTAAATTACTTGATTAAAGGCAAGATTGCATATTGACCTAGAATTTATTTTAGTATATTTGTCATAGCCATTCTTCCCTGTCCGAATTTGGTTCCCGTCATTGGATATAGACTGGCTGATTAGATAATGATAAAAAGAATATGACATTCAAACATGGCACTATCACTTTAGTTAAACGTTTACTTTAAAACCTTGTAGGTCGGTGAAATGTTGTACATCAGAACAGATATTTTTATAAGAAATTTTTAAACAGTATGATTTTTTAAAAACAAAACAAACAAAAAAAAACAACAAGAACACAAAGGCAAAACTACAATTCCCCCCATTGCATGCACATTGCATGCATGTCAACTAGACGCTGAGTGCACGCGGCGTATAATCAGTTATGTAGCGGTCATTATTTAACGTGTTATCGGGTTTGATATGTTGCTTTGAAAATAAAAACTTCTGTCTCAAATATTTTATAATTCATCTTCGTGAACTTGATGTTTTTTTTTTTAAAATGTCGAATTATACGCGGTGTGCAGCTTAATGTGAATTAGGACACTTTAGATTTCAAATGAACGATTATTCAAGATCGGCTTTCAAATAATTCGAATTCGTTTTTTTAGCTTGTTGAAAAAAATAAGTATGAAACATGCAGTATGTCGAATAAAAACACCAAAGGTCTTGAGTCATACAATATATCCATTTTGTTTAATAATTGACGTCTCCGTACATGACACATTTGTTTTATATTTCAGTTGTGACGAAAATTACTCTATGATGCCAAGCAATGTTCAGCATTCTACGTGTGAAAATAATCTACGATGGGAACCCCCACCTCCAAAGTGTTTCAGTCAGTCGATTTGACAGATAATTTTAAATTTTCCGTTTATCAAATTTGAATAGATATTTTTAATATCAATGATTTGTGATGTCGTTTTATCTTAAATGTCAAAACATGTGTCGTGATCTTTCTTTCAAGTGCTTGGCAGCACCATATATCTGTTAGATCGAATTATTACATACGAAAACTATTACATTTATACTTTACACTGTATAATAAATATTTTATACCTTAGAAAAAGTCGACAGATATGTTCCAAACGATGGGTATTTGTGGGGATGGAAACGAGGCAAAGTCTCGCACGGTGAATCATACAAGATCTGCTGCAACAAAGGCTTTGAGGTTGAAAGGGATGACAATGTACCAGTTAATAAGGAAGATTGTACAAATATCCGGAACAACAATGGCACACTGGAGCCGAGTGTGGCATGTGTAGAAGGTTTATTCTATTTTTTGGTCAGATGTACTCATATTCAGTTTCAAAACATCATCTCATCGAACCAATATTCATACGTACTTAGACAATGAGATCATGATAAAAATGGTTACTTTACGCACGTGAGCACTCATGATGTTAGTTTTTTCGTGAATGAAATAAACTTTTTAATAGAGCTAGGCCAATCCTAACATATACTTATAAAAAAGGACTGTTTCTTTATGTGTTTCTAGAGTTATTTGCATTGTAAACAACATTTTAAAAAGTTTTATGTAAGTGCTCTATAATCGTTAATTCAAAATCTTGCGATAACAGAAATAGTACATAATCTTTTTCCTCTGATACAACTATAACATAAAAATATAATTATAACAGAAAATAAAACATTGACCAGAAGTTATTTTATTGCAATAAGGAAGACATAGATGGTTAATGATTAGTTTTATATTTGCTTGTTGCTATATGAACTAAGCGATTTTCGACTGCTCTTGGCTTTGTCTTACTGCATTATTTGCATGTCATTTGCTTTGCCTTCAATATATCAAAGAACAACATAAAAAAATAACTTGATATAATTCGATGTAAATCTTTGCTTTTACATGCGTCTTTAAATGTTAAGGCCCCTAACATTTAATACTCACGCTTAAGCTACTCTCCCGTCCAAAACGGGACTAAAAAGCTTATTTTTACAGTAATTAAATTTGCGAAGACGTAAAATATGCCGTTTCCACGTGAAAACGGCTACCCAATGGTTGCTTAGTTTCATTTTGCACATATATAAGTTATCGCTATTAACATGTAGCGAGTAAGACGGCTTGATTCAGGTCATATTTACTATATAAATTTACTATATCAATGTCAGTTTGAAACTGAAAAACCATTATATAGTGTTCAGCAGTCGATTATAGAATAAAATAACAATTACCAAACGCACAACTGTTCTACCCTCAACCAACAGTTAACGGGTGTGTTTATAATTTAAGTCAATATCTACAAAATAAAAACGTTGCAACAGTTTAAAATTACAGCATGATAAACTTTGCAAAAACTATTTACAGATGGTTTGTCGTCGGACAATACATGTATTAACCTCTAGTTCCACCGAGTCTGTGGTGAAATTTTATCTTTTGTTTTTTTTTTATTTCAAACTGAAATGTATGGAATAGAAGCTTAAAGGAGAATTTCTGGAATTATGACACAACTTCTTATTATTGGAAACAAAAAAAGAATACTGTTATTAGTTTTGTTTCTTTTAAAATTTATAACTTATTACAGTGGATTTGAATATGATTTATTTCATGATAAGTAAAAGTAAAGAAAGTATATTTTAAAAATAGAATTGTGTGAAACGGCAAGGCGTCATACTGAATATAAACATGAGGACGGTTCTGAATTTACGTCAAGAATATCAAGCAATGAAATGGTTTGGATGCGGTGTAAAAAAGGGTACGCGTTCTACGACAATAGAAATCAACCACTGCCATCGCCACAGAAAAGACGGTGCATACGGGGCAAAATTCAAGAGGCTCCTACATGTATTGAGGGTGAGTAAAGTTGTGTTGTTACCTTTTCTCAGTGTTTTATTTGCATGCCTCTCTTGCTGTCTCCACAATACTCAGATAAATTTTGTATTTGCAGCGAAGAGTTCGCTCGTTGGTTACCCTTACAGACCATTCACACTATATCGAGATTCGAAGAGAAACATATTAGATAGGAACAAATATATTGAACCAAATGAAAGGGTGAGTGTAACGTAAGAACCTTGATATTTTCCGAAATTTATAACTTAGTACCAATAGAAATATCGTCTGACCTGAATTTAGTAGTAAGAACAGTCGTGAACAGTAGCGTTTTCATTTGAGCATATAACTGTCACTCTCGTAATATTATCACATTCAGTATTCACATTGTAAATAATACTTTTATTTTAAACAAACCAAAACAAGTTTATTCAATGTTTATGAGAAAGATAATGTAGCCATTATATGAACATATCTTTGAATATCTCCTGCATATCAAAATTATTGGGAGATATTTGCTACATTAGAGTGTTTTGTAACAATGACGTTTTGTATACTATCTACTGAATATTATATAATGTGTTTGTTTTTTTCTTTCCTAGATTGAAGTTTTCTGTAGCGACGGTTATGAATTATATGTTGAATTTAACAAAGTATACCTAGATGAATTTTTTACCACAAGTAGATATGGAGAATTTGATAAAGAAAAGAATAAATTTCCAGTTTGTCTTGAAAGTAAGTGGAGAGGTTTTTCCTTAATCCGAAATAAAAGAAATAGACATGAGTATTAATCAATTACGAACGGATCGACATATACTGTATATCAAAAATATTGATCACTTATTTTAAAATATACATGCCTTCATATGAGCAAACACAAGAAAATATACGTTAGACAGTGCGCATTGATTTAAAAAAGTAAAGGTATTCAAGTTTCAAGTAATTATTGACATGTTATGTGCCATCGATAACAATGTACAAAATTAAACATCATATTTATACTGCGTGACTAACGCAAGAAGGGCTATTCCCTCATATTTTTGTTGAGTATTTTTGGTAATTTACGTTGATTGTAACCGCTTTGAAATGTGTAAACTACTTTCTTTTTTTTCTTTCAACTCATTTTCAAACAAGTCATAGAAATATATAAATCTGAAGGAATGTTGTTCAAAAGTATGTTGAAGAAGTAAATACAAACAATACGTTGAGTATTTTACACAACAACACATGACATAACGACGACTACATGTAGCTATTGGTAATTTAATAATGATTCAGAACCTATAAATTTATGTTAATTCAAGAATACATTTTAATACGGACTCCACCTCCAAGTCATATGTATCATTGGTGGAAAATTCAAGAATACATTTTTATGCCCCCGCCATGTAATGGCCGGGGCATATAGTGTTACCCTGTTCCGTCGTTCTGTCATTCCGTCATCATTAGTTTCCGTTCATTATCTTAAGAACGGTTGCACACATTCAACTCAAATTTTATACATGGATATGTCATGAGAAAATACAGGTCAAGTTCGAATTTGGTCATGGTTCGATGATTTTTGGCAGAGTTATGCCCCTTTTACTTTGAAAATAGCATATTGCATATTTGTAGCCAAAATAAAGGCTAAAGTATGAGTGCTGAAACTGAAAGTTCAAAATTTTTCCAACATTCAGGAAAGATAAGTTTGTCTTAAATCATTGAACCACGACCAAATTCAAACTTAAACTGCTTAAGATGTATCTGTATTATTTTCAAAGTGAAAGGGACATAACTTTGCCAAACGGTAAAACACGTTCAACTCAAACTTGACGTATGGATATGTCATGAGAAAATACAGGTCAAGTTTGAATTTGGTCATGGTTCGATGATTTTTGGCAGAGTTATGCCCCTTTTACTTTGAAAATAATATGAAAGGCTTAACATGACACTTATTTAAATGGTTTTACTAATATATTAAATAAAAAATGGAATGTTCAAATTTGATGGGACAGACTATAGGTTTAACTAAAGCACAAAAGCTGATGGTAGCAAATTACAAAGCCTCAAAAACTTTTAACAGAATAATACTCCGTATATATCTCACTCCTATGTAACGTTTTTAATTATATAAAACATATGTATTTGCAACATATTGATTGAAAATTACTGTTTTATCTTTATTATTTCTTTTCCAAAATACCTGTATGTAAGTTATATGTTTGTATAGTTTCTTACGTGAGTTGGATCGTAGTCCTTTAAAACATCACATCCCGCATATCTAGAGGGCAACAGAAATAGCTATAACAAAGAACTCTGATAAAAAATACGGAGATTTAAACTAATGTAAAATATTTTTTAGAAAATATTCTTAATCAAAACAAATATGTTTTCGTTCAAATAATTGTAATGCCGCCGTAATTAAGTGCCCAAGTGTTGTTTCATGTAATACATCAAGTTAATTGATAATCAATGTTCCGTTCTACTTTCACATCTAAGATTTAAAACATTATAATTTATAATAATAATATATATATATATAACATTTAATTTCTATCCTCTACTGACTATATTATGTTCTGCTTCAATTGCACGTGATCCTGTTAATTAATTTAAATACCACCCGATTTCATTAATTTGCATAATAGTTTAGTGACCTTTCTGTTGAAAATGTGTCAGAGTTATATCATATACATATATATGCACAGTGCGTTAACTGAAATTGTGTGTCACAGAGGTTATTATTTTATTTTCTTTTACTTTTTGATAAGGTAAAATGTATTTGATCAGTACGAAAACGGGAAAACGTTTCGGTGCCGGTACAAATGCCCATGTTTACATAACTCTGTTTGGCTCTAAAGGAAGTACAAGAAGAATAGACTTAAGGGGAAAATTTGAATCTGGTGATGTCGACGAGACCAGAACATTTGCCAGAGATGTAAGACCAGTAAGTAACGTTATTATTTTTGATGATTTTAAAAAGAAGTGATAGTGTTATAAAAAGTGGGGTCTTTTTATTTTTTTTTAATCTGTACTGGTTTCTTTTATTTTATTATTGGTAGTTTTATGAGAGTTCTATTGAATTTGAAGCAAACATTTTCATCTTAATCAATCTTGCCAATCGCTACTAAATCCTGAATTACGTAGACTGTATGTGGATAAACCATTGTTTAGCTCTTGCTGAAAAGTTAGATTATAACTTTATGCGCTTTCAATATAAATCAATAAATTGATCATATTTGTTCACAGAAAAATATTGATGATGTATTTAGAAATCATGTGACTGAATTAATTGTGTTTGTAGATGATGTGGTGGTAAAACTAAAACACATAGCGCTTGACACACTAGACTTAAAATTATATCAACCAGGAACATATGAACCTGTATTTTGACGAAAAAATATGATTTGATTCATTTCTTGAATTAATGCATTTCAAATTGGATAAAACGCTTTTCAAATCGAAACGAAAGTATATGTCATTTTTGTATATATAAATGTCTGCCTAAAATAATTTTTATGAAATGCATATTTGTAACAATGTGCCGATGTAATCTAGGATCTCTCATTTTCATTTATTTTACTTTTTTTCAGATAGACAGTGTACAGATCGGACATGATGGTGATAATATCTTATCTGATTGGGACCTGGAATATGTATCAATATATGTTGAACATATGGAGGAATTTTATGTTTTTAGAAATATTAAACAACAATGGGTAAAGGAAGGCAATGATCTGACGTTGCACAGAGAAGGTAAAATTTTAAATAGACTATCAATATATATATAGAATATTGACTGAGTGTAGGTTTAATACTAAATCTATTGAACGAGTTGAATAAAAACATATTATGGTAGCTTCGAGCAAAATATTGTTTTATACAACGAGTTCAATAAATTTGATTTTGAATTTACACGAATATAATATTCTTTTTATCACAAATTCAAAACAACAACGGTTTACATTTAAAATTTACGCGCATACATTGTAACGCTAACATTAGCGCGCTTTAACGCTATGTTTGTATATTACGCAAATGACGTCGCCTCAAAATTTTAGATATGTGTAATATCGTTTTTATTGCATGGCTTTATTACACCCATACATCTTAGTGTATGTGATAGTGTGTGGGGTATTTTGACATACTGTATCAATGAATATCTATTACCCTATTCTATTTTGATTCCCTTTTTACATTAGGAGACAATTTTCAACGAGAGCATGCGTAATCGTATGTTTCTATTAAATACACAGGAAGGAAATATTAGTATATCTTAGCTACTTTGATGGAGATGAAAACATGGTTTCAATTCCTGAACAAAATCTAATTTTAAATAGTGACGGATTGGTAGAAATAAAACCTACATTTAACCTAGGTCTTATCTGTTATCGTGTAAGGTCCCTGATAGCCATTAACACTTTAGATTCGAATTCTTTCTGCACGTCCGGGTACTTTTAAGACTGTCAGCTTTCTTGCAATCCTATAATAGTTTAAGTAATTTAACACTGGTGTCCATTCAAGGCAGAAACAATGCAAAAGGTGTCAAATGAAGTTATCCCCAACCAGTAGAATTTGAAAATACTTTTGTTCTAAGGTATACCTTACGTTTCATAGGCTATTGTAAACTATTTCATACTAGCTATAGAGAGAAATTATATAGCAGCCAAGAAAATATTTTACAGTAGCGTTCGAAACATTTATTTTTGTTTTTCAAACATTATATTGTAGCCTATGAAACATAAGTAATAACTGATGAAACATTGCATCGCAGTTTATGAAACATATTATAGTAGCAGTAACCTATATAATATTTTATAGGAGCTTATGGAACACTATATTGTAGCCTATGAAACATTAAATGGAAGCCTTTGAAAATTATATGGTAGCCTTTGAAACTTTAATTATGTTAAACATTTAATCATATTTTGTAAAACATTACATTATATATGACCATTTTGTAATATCATATGAACATTGTATATTAGCCTATGAAAAAATATATTATTGCCTATGAAATATTTTAAAGCTGCAAATAGACTCCAATAACTTGCGTATTTAGGGGAGTAACTGGTCCTCGATCATAAACAGGAGATTTCATATACTGGGTGTATCAAAATGTTCGTCTAGATCTCTTCAATACGAAATGGGATTTCACTTTTAACAAAACGTGCCGGGGGACTTAGAAATCTGAGATGATGTCCAAGATTGCTGCTGCAATCTGAATATTACAATGTAAATTTTATTTCATTATTTTTGGCAGTAGAAACAACTGCATATATTCCATTTTGTTCCATCCATGTATTGAAGTTGTTTCGAAAATGCGTTCATGTCAATACTTTTCGATGTAAAACTATTTTTGGAGGTCAGAAACAGAAAAATATGACAAAAATGCCCAAACAAATGATTTTGCTATTTTATTATTTTTACTTGTTTTGTTTTTAATGTTTTGTTATGGCCTTTTTTACAGAAAATAACATTTCTTAATACATGATCAATTTGAGTGGATTGGTAAAATAATAAATTAATTGAAATTTCAAAATATTGAAAAAAAAATGTTTTGCTACATTAATGTAGACTTACATCTATTATTTAAATTATTTCAGAGTAGACATTTATAATTATTGTACAATATGAGGATGATATTATTAATATTAGTATCATTTCAATTCAGAACCATATATATAGTACCGAGTTACTTCCCTTTGAAACAAATACGCCATAGCAAAGAATTTAGACAATGTTAAATTATTTCTGTATATTTTATTAGACATTCAACTACAGATGCATTTCGTGGTAAGTAGCTTTATAAGTTTTAAAACTTTTTGCATAAATTCTAATGTTTTTCCAAGACCAAGGGGAAAGCTAGTGGAAGCAGTGGCAGACAGTTGAATCCGAGAGCGAACTGTTGATGCAAAACGGACAACACATGCCATGACACGCATTCTGATCAGTAGTACCGCATATGATACAAGCCAGATTCCTAGACTACCGAAACGCAGGGCATGTGATTGCCAGTCACTGCCCGGTGGTGGACTTTGTTTAATAGTTCCATATAAAAAACAAGATCAACGTACTGTTTGAACGTCCTTTAATGCTAGATGACATTATCCCAAAGAGCCGAACACTGTAAGGATTGTTAGGTTGAGAGAATACTTCATTCAGCTGGTCGTAGTTCCATTTTCTGTGATGGTATCTCAGATGGTGATGATATCTCAGATGATCAACAAAATATCTCAATCGAAAGTGTTTTTTATCAAAATTTGACCTAGGCTTTGGAGATTTGTTGGAGTCATAATGATAAGCTACTCGGGTACCTTTATGGAGATGCAGGTCTTAAGCTGCTACTCACTGATTCTAGAACATACGCTCCAGCCACAGCAAATAACATTCTGTTAAGCACGGACTTTGAGAGAGCACTTTTGGCATTTAAACTGGTTGACGAAGCTTTGTACAACCGCTTACATTTCACCTTTGAATCCTGGTGTGTAAAAATAATAGAGATGTGCCAGCTGAAGTGAAAGTTATGCTGTCACACTTTCGATTTAAGCCTGGGGTCAGCTATATGGTATAATAATAATATAGTATATTATGATATCTTGTCAAAAAGGTCGATGGCTTTGTCAGAAGAGTTCAGGGAGGATGGTCGAAAAATATCTGCTACCTTTTAACTTTGAAATGACCATCTATCAAACGTTTCAACCCCTCTCAATGTATTAATAGCGTCAACAAGATCTCCAGACTAGGTAATAACCAGCTTGCCAAAATGCAACTAATGCCTCTGATGTTTGCAACAAATCGAACAACTTATGTCAGATACATGACAGTCAAATTTCTTCAAATGACAATTCTTCAGCAGGATGGAGATGAAGGATTTCTTAATGGATTTTAAACAGCGAAGTTTTCATTTAGAAAATTAAACAATGTATGGCTAATTTATGCACTAGAAACTACACAGAACAAGGATATCAAAGGATCAGGAGCTATTTTTTAACTCACTTTGAGAGAAAATACATTGGCATATTTGTTTCCTGCACGATCTATATCTTCAAGATATTTAGGAATATTTCATAATAGTATAAGCAGCACAAGCAGGCAAAGTAAAAAAAAACACCACTGTGACCACAAAGGCGAACAAAACCAATATAAAAAGATGTCAAAGCAATGATAGATATATTCGATACAAACTTCTTTTACCCCTTTGAGGTTTACAAAACGAGAACATTTGACTTCAAGAAGAAACTTGAAGACCTTTTTCCGGAGTAAAAAGCAATGTTGAGCGATGAAGAGGATGGAAATATTTGATTGCATGGCGCTTGTTTAGATGTTCCCTTTTACATTTGAACATGCAACATTCAGAAGCATGGCATCCGAGTTTCAAACATATGCTCTTTAAAGGCTCGTGAAATGTCAAAAATGTTCCAGTCATTCAAATTGCTTTTTATATATAGGAAAGACAGTTTAAGGTCAGAAACAAAGAAGAAAAGGGGTGACCTTAACAACACCAATGCAAGCAATGTGCATGTTTATGGAGATCTACGAATTCCAAATGATTTGAAAATGATTTTGCGTGGTGGTGCAAAAATAGAAACGCCTAGAGTATTATACTCGCTTAATGACAATGATTGTAACAAACTGATACCTCAAGAAGTTGTAAATGGTGGAAGGCGTTTACACGGTGTTAAGATTACACAGGATTCTAGTGTTGAGATTTTACAACAAAATGCTAACAAAGAAGAAGATGACATTATGATGAAGAATCTGCTCCACATGTTTACATTTGTCAACTGGAACATTTACCGCTCATACAGATTGCAGACGACTGATATCAGTTACCAATATTAACCAGAAACTGACATCTAAACAGTTAACTATTCTGCTTTCAGTATACTGTTTAACATGTTGTGACACAACAAGCGAATTTAATGGAAAGGAAACTAAAAGTATTCAAGATGATAATAAATGATGCCAATTAGTATGGTATTGGTTGGTCAAGAGCTGATGCTTACTGAGCTCGAAAAATTAGCCTGTTATAAATTTTGTATTAATATGTATGGTAGCAAAGCTAAAAGCTCACCCTAGAAATTTACCACGAACTGAAGATAGCCTTACTTTTCATCTTCTGAAATGTGTTGTTCAGCTTTAAACATGGCGACATGCTACACGACAACCGCAAATAATCAGTTCCCTTCACTTGTTGATTTTGGGTATGACTATGACAACTACGGGACCTGAATCACGTCACGATTGATAAGCAAAGCGGCAGCAGCTCCCTAGTTACTTAATGAGTAAGTGTGTGAATTCCCTTGTGTACAGAAACATGCGTTTGTTTAAAAAATAAGCAGTCATGCACAAGTGCATGCTGTTGTAAAGCTGATTTTTAGACAGAAGACACTTTGTGTACCAATATATACACATTATTATGGACAAGGTTTGGACACGTCAGATGAATCATTGTCATTGAGTAAAGACAATATCATGGTAGTTGTTCCACAAAGTCAACAGCCGCTGTTGTTATAAATTGACTGCAAACAAGAATTTAGAAGTATTTTAATGATTTTAAATAAAATCTAGAATATTGTGTACGACAAGTAAATGATAATATATGTTTCTTTTTTAGTTTTCGTAATTTCATAAACCTTATGAGTTATTATTTTTGGTTATGGCATAAATTGATAGGTAACTGGGTGTGAAAATTGCATTTCTCCTTATTTCGGTGAATCTATATTATGTAGCTGTTAATTGTGATTTATATCTGAATTTGCTTTCTCAGCACTGCTTTTTGCATACTAAAGCAATGCATAATGACTTGAGATTCTTAAAGAAATAATGAACTTATAAGATATCAAGGAGGAAATTTATGTTAGCGACTTAGGTTGGACATTAACACGAAGATAATTAAATATGAACATTGAATGTCATATTTTATATCATAAAAGTTTTAATAAGATAGTTTGAGAGAAACCCATTCATAATGAAATAACAGAGAAAAGAATGTTAAATTTATGGGACATCTTTAGAAAATAACAAGATTTCAACATTTTTTTGTCATAATTTCTATCTCTGACAATAAAAACATTTTTACACTTTTAAAGCAATCTGATATATAAATGATAAAAAGAAATATATGCTGTTGTTTTTACTGTCGCAAGTAACGTACAAGATTTTATATGATAATTTTCACATTTTAGCGACCGTCTTGGACGCCATCATGGATTTCTAAGTCCCCCGCCACATTCGGAAAAAAATTAGATTCCATTTCATATTCATGAGATCCGGCCAAACATTTTGGTATATTAAACCCTCTGTTTATGATCGGCGACCAGTAAGGTGTTCCTAAGCTCATGAAATTTTCAGCACTATATGAAATTCTATTGCAGTCTATAAAACATTATACATGTAAAGTAGCGTATGAAACAGTATAAAGTAGCCTATGAAACATTATTTTTTGAAGTTGTCTATAAAACATTATATTTAAGCCTATGAAAACGTTTATACTAGCCTTTAAAAGATTAATATTAAAGTCTAAACAACAGTATACTAAATTCTATAAAAAATTTAACAATTCTATAATTTAATGTAATTTTCACATATGTATTTCATATTTCAGGAACTCAAGCATGTATCAATTCATTCAGCGACAGATATATGTGGTATCCTAGATGGAGGAAAATAAATAACTTTTTCCTTGGCAGTGGGAGAGGGATGAGTAGTAGAGCGTGTAAACAAGCTTGCATAAATTGGAGAAAAGACGTGTGTAACGGAGTTTATCTTGATACACAGCATCGTATTTGTTACGGTTTCTCTGATGAAACGCGTGATGGATACTTTGTGGTGGAAAAAGAACCTTGGAATGGAGAACTGTTTTTCAGAACATGTAAGAAGTTCAATTGAAGGAATTAGACTATACAATTGTCGACATGTCTTTGTTGATAGCTCGTGTTTCAAATTATTTTTTCTAGGTGTCATATTTTAAGGGAGTGGATTGAGCACGTGTTATTTGACATTCTATTATTGTATCAAGTGCACAATGTTATGCTTTCTTAAAAACGAATTATGAAATATACATTGTAAAATGAGGAGAATTGCTATTGATAGCGTATTTCTTTATCAGTTTTGAAAACAAATTCTTAGCGGAAACTGGTTCAAAAAGTTATTACATCAGCTATAATATTAGCCCTGTTTCTAAGGAAATTTATTTAACAAAATGTATGTTTTAGCGATATCAAGCAACATGTACAAACATTGATGACGTATGTAATGCAAATTTGAACAAAACAATAATAAAAATCAAAAAAATCTTTACATATCAACAGTTTGAAATCATTTGGTAAAAAATGAACATTATTTTTGTTACCAGAACTAAAACCAAATTACATATAGTGTAATAGTTAACAATTATAATGAGAAACTAAGCACATACTTCGGAACAATTAACGGGTAAATTAGCATTGACATAGAAAAGTAAAAATACTTTGTATATATATTCATGTATACATTTATTATGATGCTGTGTATTTAGGTACACAATAAACCGTCGGTAGTTTTTTTTCCTTTTCGTAAGTTCTGTTCTTTCACAACAACGGACAGAAAATGCTGTATAAAACGTAAAAAGGATGTCCCGTCTTCCATGTGACTGTTCATATAATGTTTTATGTCTGTTAGATATAGTGTCCAGAAAAATCCGTAAATGTTACTAAAATAGCGATGTTGGGAAATGTTATCTCGCATGGGCTTATCTCACACCCAACGTCAGCACTTCTAAAAATGTTTTCCTCAATATACGCGATTCACTCCTATTTAAAAAAAAATAAAACTGTAAAAGGTCAAAATATAATAAAAATATATGAGCTAATCTATTAAAGTGTCCACGGCATCAAAATAGATTGATATTAACTCTCACACTGTAATGAGTTCTACTTTACCTAGGTCCGTCCTTTTCAGTATCGATCTGTGACTAAAAATAGCACACTTTAAAATATCGCCAAATTTTTCGTAAAATCGGATATTATGACACTTTGTCTGAAAAAAAACATCAATATTTTCTGTTATGATAACGATGCTTCTTGATAACGAATCTCATTATGATATATTTTAATTGAATCTTCGAAAAGTAGAAAAAATCTTTGCAACGGTAAACGCTTTTTGTCAACCATTTAAGTATGGACTGAATTATACTTTCCGACTTTCATCATGATAACATTGCTTGTTGATGAGGGATCTCATGATTTTTTTTCATTGAATTTTTAATTATAAACTTTGTCAGTAGATTTTTTTTTGCGGACGTACATAATGCTTTTGTAAGGCGCCTAGGCCCGCCTCGCTTTTCAAAACTAGGTGCGCTGAAATGCGCGTAGCAAGTAGTTTCACTGATATATGTGTGTCCAGGTGAGTGAGAAAACAATACTCACCACGGCACGTTCCTGATGGAACCGATTACCTTCGGGTTAGGATTTCCCTATCCTCTATCTTACACAATAATAAATTCTATTAATCTGGGGCCGTATTCACAACTGATCTTAAGTTATTTCTTAAGTTAAAACATAAGTTGAAAAAAAAAATCTTAGCTAAGAAAATTTTTTATCTTAAGATTAAGTCGTATTCTGAAAATGACTTAAGAAAAACTTAGCTGAGATTATTATTAAGATTGAGAAATATCTTAAGTAATAAATATTTCACTTAAGAAAATTCTTAAGTCGATTGCTAATGAAAGAGGGGTTTTCCGTTACTAAAAATAGTAACGGAAGTGCTCTTCAATGTCTAAAATTAGAACCGGGTGTTTATAGCCGTCAAATCCACCTGAAAACATGTCAAAGTACCATATAAAACTAAAAGATGTAGATTATGTGGAAGGGATGGCAACATGAATTATAAAATGAAAATCTATATCTAAGTTTAAAACTATATTAAGTTTTATAGCCTAAAATGGGAATCAATTTTGGGGAAATGGATATTCCATTTATGTTACTTGTCAAGGCCATGGCCTATGTATTGGCAAAACTCAATAGCACATTTGAGCCGCGTCACGACAAAACCAACATAATGGGTTTGCGACCAGCATGGCTCCAGACCAGCCTGCGCATCCACACAGTCTGATCTGGATCCGTGCTCTTCGCTTACAAACCCTATTACAAGTAGAGAAACTGGTAGCGAACAGCATGGGTCCCGATCAGACTGTGCGGATGTGCAGACTGGTTTGGATCCAAGCTGGTCGCAAACGCATAACGTTTGTTTTGTCGTCACGCGGCTCATATAAGATGACTGAACTTGATGGGTTAGGCTATCCATTATATAGGATAAAAAAATTAAATAATGGAGAGGGAGGAAGTGACTTGCTTAAATTTGTATAAATAAGTGTATGAAGCCCATGATAAAGATGCATGGAAAGTTAAACCTAGTACAGACAGATGGCTAAAATTTCATTTGTTTCATTGAAATGTTGCATAAAAGTTCTTTTAAAATAATACAAAAAGAAGGCATTTAAATTACATGTCATGCTTTTCAGCTATTCTGCTTCTAAATGATAAATCATCTAGTGTGTAAACAAGACACAGGTTTTTTTTTTATTATTTATTTCTTTTTAATTGCATTATCAAATGTAAAACTTTACATGAACAGTTTTTTTTAAATCACACATACATGTTAGAAGAAAATACATATTTCAGAAGCTGTGACCAAGTATATAGCCAATGCTTTCTATTTCCGACATTATGATAGTGCTTTCGCTGCAGAGTGTGTTTTATACATACTGAAAGCTGCCGGCATAGTAGTTTAGAATATTAAGAGGTATGCAAGCTTATATCTCCAGTTCTGCAGTTTTGACTGTTCTAATTATACAGAAAATTTCATTCAAATGCTCGCAAATTCCAAACAATTTTCATGAATAGTTCAAGGATAGCAAAAAAAAAAAACAAGTAAGATTGAGCTGTCAGAAGAGCAGTGCACTCCAGTTTTCTCAGAGCTTATCTGGATAGTAAACTTCATATTTTCTACAAAAATAGATAATTTGAATAAAATCACATCAACCTTAACTTTGACTAAGCAGGCTGTGCCCACATTTCAATATGTGTTCTTGACCTTAAAAATCTTATTAAAAATATCAACACAGGTCATTGTGAACCATCACCATGACCTTTTGACACAAAATGAGTATCATGGCAGGTACAACTCATCCTGGTTAAATCTGGTACATACAATTTGTCAAAGTCTGATGTTCCTCAGTAAACGCCTATTAAATGGCTAGTTTTATGTTTGGTTACCACAAGTCAGTGACTTTGACCTTTTGACCTGAAAATGAGGGGTTCGGGTTGAACTCATCAAGGTTCATCCACATATAAAGTTTTGATGTAATAGATTTGTAAGTACATGTATTGTATAATGAAAATCAACAACACCAACAGGTCAGTCATACCGAATGAATATAACATACATTTTTTCTTCTATAAAAAGTGGAGCTGATAATCTTACTGAAAACAATTACTAGGAAATGTTAATTCTAATCTTAATTCACACAGTTCTTTTTCCATGAATGAAATTTTCTTTCATAGTTATCCTTTTGATAGTCTTCAAGTTTCTCACAAGTTAGAATGTTCATGTGTTTTTCGATGAAAACATTGGACCAATTCCTCTAGCACATTATGAACACAATCGGCAGTGATAGATTTAACATTTTATCACACAAGAAATTTGATAATGACATGTCCTGCATAAAAGTTAGTAACAATAAGGCTCCTTGATGTACCCAGGTATGAATCTTTTGGATTACTAGTGGTCTTCTAGAGTTTGATTCCACTGATGTGTTCCAGTGTTTATGAACACAGTAACTGTTAAGTCTTCATTGTTCCTATGTGTTTTTCATGTATTTAGTGTCCATGATTTAAAGTTGCAACAGGTGATATTTGATGTTATATGCCATGAGCTGTCAGATTGAAAATCTGATACATTATGGTAGTATATAGTCACTACACATTAATCCTGATTCATTCTCCATGTATTTGGTCAATGAAGTAGTGCTATGTTCAGCAGCATAAATTATGTAACATGTTGCTACTATGTTGATATCTTTATTCTCCATACTACTGTCAGTCTGGATGACTACAAAATCCGAGGTTCATGAATAGTGTGATATCATCTGAAAATATAAAAAAAAAAATTTTTTTAAGAAAATATAAGTACATAAATCAACAAAAGCTTTCAAAGGCAACAGCGAAGCTCGACTAATAAAATACTAGACACAGTATGGAACACAAAACTATGAAAAAAAAATCAATTATGTATAATTATTATTATGTTTTAGTTATGGTAAAAAAATAACATTTGTTAACATAAATTCCATGTTCAAGGGAAATAATTCTGGAAATAGTCATGCTAGAGTTATGAAACTTGTCACACAACATGTGTGTAATGATAAGAAATATATATTTGAAGTTTTAAGTAGATACCTTAAAAGTAAAGAAGTATTTCTTAAGGTAAATCCTAAGTTCAAAGAGAGATAAATCTGACAATATTGCGTCAATAGTTATGAACCTTGTAACATAAGATGTAATTGATGATAATGAATAAGTTTTTGAAGTTTGAGGTAGATATCTTTAAAACTAAAGAAGTTATAGAAAAAAAAAATTTCAAGCAAAAAAATCTAAGTTATGGGGAGATAATTCTTGCAAAATTGGTGCTAGAGTTATGAGCCTTGTCATATAACATGTGGTTAATGATAAGGAACATATATTTGAAGTATGAACTTGATCCCTTAAGAAATAAATAAGTAACAGTAAAAATTAGTATTTTTTAAGGAAAATTCTAAGTTCAAGGGGAGATACATGTATCTGAAAATATTGTGCTAGAGTTATGAACCTTGCCACATAAGATGTGGTTGATGAAAAGGAACATATATTTGAAGTTTGAAGTTGATACCTTAAGAAAATGAAAAGTTATAGTGAAAAATATTTTACTAAACCAAAACTTTAACCTGAAATCTGGAGGCTGACGCCGGGGCGTGTAGGACTGCTCTCCATATACTTAGTATAGTCAAACTAAAATTGCAGTTTTAGTTTTAACTGAATATCATTCTGAATATCATTCAAACAAACAAATTGAGCATAATTATGTTGTCACTTATTGAGGTAAATATAAAATATCAACAAATTTCTATATCATTTACCCAATAACAACAAACCCCACTATAAATGAGATTTCGCACCACAGATGTGACAATTCACCACACATTCAACATGATATTAAAATGTTATTAACAGTAGGATAGTTTTATGATTGGTTAAGTGTCTAACCATGAACAACACTGAACAACA